TCATGGTTTTCTGTTGCCGTTGTCCATGCAGCCTGTAGATTAAGCCTGTGGCTTCACACAACAGATTTCATTCGGGAGTTATTTATTCCCCTGTTAGGTTTCAGCAGTATAGCTGCATTAGGTGGTTGTACTGATTTGCTTTCTAGTTTAGCATCAGGTGGCTGAAGCCATTGGCTTGGGAGTACCGCTGCAGTTCATGTTTAAGACATTATGGTCTTCCTCATGGCTGACGGTATGGAGGTACATAAATACCCACTGCTAGTATGCACAGAAGACTAGGTTGAGTTAGCTAGTTTAGTTATAATAGGCAGATTAGTGGGGTATACATTTCTTCTGTTAATAGTGTGTGTGAGTGTGTGTGGCCAAGGTTTATTGAAAGTCATTCAGTTGATGTTAGAATGAAGCTGTGTGGCATATTAGGTGCAGTTCAATGTTTTGAATTTTTGTAATGTTTTTTTAAAAAAACGGAGGCACACCAATTAATACAATGTGTTGATGTTAATGGAAAGAAAGAAGGAGAAACTGACTGCTAAGGTGTTGGAAAATAAGATTGAAAGGCTTCAAACAACTGCACGTCACCTACCTCTGTAGCATTAAATGAAATGGACCTTGCAATGCAATTACCCTCCTTTGGCGTAAAGACAGGTGTGTGAGGTCATGTTGGATGCCATTGAAAACGAAGAACTCAGTTAGCATAAATAATCATACACACATTTTAATTCTGTAAACACCAGGTTTTCTCTTAGTAAGACTGCAATAGTAATTTCTGGTGATGTCCAGCATTAGTTTGGCAGTATCAGTTAGAAAGTCATGTAACTTTAGTGTGCAAAACCAGAGTTATGAATGATTGAGGTAAAAACAAATATGACAAAATCAAACTTAATAAATGGGCTTCTCTTTTCACTGTACCAAGGGTCATCTGTAATAAAATGCACAAATTAAAATCAGTATTCAGGAATTAAAATCCACTTCTTTTAAAATAAAATCAAAGATCTTTGGTTTCAAAAAGGAAAAGAAAAAAACAAATGAAAGAAAATAATTGAAAATAGGATTTCAGTATTTCCTACCCTAATACGCACCACTTTAAGCGTAATCATTGTTTAATAAGGAGGATATAGCTTGAATTAGCATCCTGGAATTTGACTCTCCGACATTTATTAATAATAATAATAATAATAATAATACATTTTATTTAAAAGCACCTTTCAAAACACCCAAGGATGCTGTACAAAGCAAATAAGACAGGCATAAAAACGGGAATTAATAAAATAAAGTTTAAGACCATGGAGAAGTTATATAGAGTGGGCCATCTTGGACAGATGGGTTTTGAGGGTAGCATTTTATGTCCCCATTAAAGTGTTTTTGTTTTGTCTTGGGGGTTTTTTTCCACAGGGCCCCAAATCCCCAGGGAATCCCCTGCTTCTTAATGTGTAATGGTACTCTTTTTAAGGCCAGCGTAACAGATCTATTGATTTATATAATTCATATTTGTTTAAAGTGCAGTAAACTCTACCTCTCTTGGTTTATATATTCAGTTCCAAACCCATCTGCCCTTTAAATCTGACATCAATAGCTGTTTCTGGATCCAAACTCCTCTTCAGTTCTCAATGTCAAACTACCCTTGCGTCATCACTGAGAGTTACAAACTGTCTAAAATCTTTCATAAAATGATCGATGTAGCTGCTCTACCAGGTGTAACAATTAAGTTTAACACTGAAGTTCCTATGAAAACAGGAATTATGAAGTTTAACAGGGTTAGAAGTTAGAACAGAGTTAGTTTCCATTTAAATATAATATACCATGTTCTGACTGAGGGGATTTGAAAAATGAAAACATACAGCTCTGCTATCACTTCACACGTAAATGAAGACAGAAAACTAAACAGCAGTAACGTTTTTAGGGTTACTGAATGTCCTCTGGCCATTAATTAGAAAAAGAACTATGTTCAATTAAAAGTAACCAGACACTAAACCTGAAAATGAAGTTAATCAAACATGAATCCAAAGGTTACAAAAATGAAAATGACTCAATGCAAGATGCACCTTCCACACCATACCAGCTTTTTATTTATAAAGTACTTTAACTTAAAACCAGGGTTTACAAATTGCTGTACATATTCAAATAGCATAAGCAAAGTAAAATAAGATAAAATAAGATTGAATAAAACACATAACCAAATAAATAAAATAGTACATGTTAAAACAAATTAGACCTTCAGGTCTTCTTCTCCTAGTGCGTACATTAACAAGATTTTACATTTAGTTTTATAGTAGTTTAATAAGAATAAAGCATGCAAATATAAATGAATCAGCTTAAACCTTTTTGACTTAGAAATGACTCCATGTAAGATTAAAATTTAGAAAAATAAAAGATTAAGTGTGTGTGTGTGTGTGTGTGTGTGTGTGTACATATACTAGTTCTGTCTCTGTGTTGATCAGGAGCTTTGATCCCCAAACTGCACTTTTTCCCAGTAAAAGTTTTAATGGTGAGTACAGGAACAGGGTCTCTGTGCAGCCTTCCTTTTCTTAGCAGTGGCCCCTGCATACCATGCAAATCAT